TTGAAAAAAAAAAGAGAAATATCGAGCGTCTGTGGCTTAGGGGCACTTGACTTGCAATCTGCAGGTCCTGGGCTCGAATCCCGCCATGTACCAATATGTTTTTCGATTTCCGATTTACATATGTATGTATAATACATTTATCCGATGTTCGAACGGTTGCGGAAAACATCGTGATGCATCCTGCATATATCTGAGAAGACATTCAAATATTTGTGTGAAGTCAACCAACCCGCACTTGGACAGCGTGGTTAACTATGGCCTAATCACCCTTAACTTAGGGTAGGCTCCGAGCCTCTCGGGGGGGACGTATAGTGAGCTGATGTTGATATAAGAAAATAAAATTTCAAAAGATAGGATACCAGTTGATCGTCTTTAATCCTTAAATCAAAAAGAAAGTTATATTTACTATGTATTAGTCCAGAATCTGGCGAAGTGAAAACAAACAAAAGCGTATATACATTAATGATTCATCGCTGCGTGACTGGAGAGGAGATTCTTTATTAAGATTTATCTTTAGTTTGGTGAGCCTTCTTATAAATATATAAGCTCGTTAGCGACGGCGTTAGGACGGCGATTTGTGACTTACTATACTGATTGTTATTTTATTATATAACTAGCTCTCGACCGCGACTCCGTGCGCGCGGGTTTAAAAAAATACTTAGTAGCCTATTTGTTCTTCCAGATTATGTTCTACATGTGTGACAAATTTCAGTGAGATCCATGTAGACAACCTGAAAATACCTTCAAACAAACATCCATCTAAACATGCGAATTTATAATATTAGTAAGACATTTCATGACTTTTAAAATAATTTGATAGTATTGCTAAACCAAATTTTAACTAAAGCTACAACTAAATTTTTGGATGTAAATTAAACATGAAACCATAGCTAATAATCTTAATAATAACCCGATCAAATTTAGCCAAATTAAGGTATTTAAATTTACTACAAATTTTTAAGCATCATTTAAAATTATTGTAGCTTTAATTATTTAATTTGACTGGAGTATAAATAATATTAACAAATCCTAGATTAACAGAGCTAATAATAAGTTACCTTAAGAGTTCTGGAATAACAAAAGGAACGCTGATAAAAAAATCTCGCAGAAAGCGAGAAAGAACTGCTTACTATTATCTAATACTAGCTGTCGCCCGTGACATCGTCCGCGCGGAATAAAAAAAACTTAATGAGTAGCCTATGTGTTCTTCCAGAATACGTTCATATATTCCAAATGTCAGTCAGATAAGTTGAGCCATTCCGGAGATACCTTCAAACATCCATCCATCCATCTAAATATTATTAACATCAACACGTGCAGCACTTCCAACATAACCAGAAATGTCAGTTTGTAAATTTGAAAAGCAGCCAACCAATAAGTTTAGACGCATTCAAAATCTTTCTGTTGAACATTACGCTCGTTTATGTCCCGCCGGGCTGCCCAAATAAAACTGTGGCATCGTCGTACAAACAATACTATTTGTGAACGTTTAAATTTCGCTCCGGGCATACATTGCCTTAATTAATCCAAAACAGACATCACACGGCTAAATTGTAGGAGTACAGATGTTTTTACAAACTTCTATGACAAATATATTTTGTATTTGGACTTTATATGTACATGTTAATTTGAGGCCGTTATCTGGTCAGTTTTAGAATAGAATAATAAACCGCTTGGGAGTCTAATGTTCGAAAACACATCAAAATATGTCATCATTTAGTCTTAAGAATAATATGCTTATTTGTGAACCTTGTATATTTGGATGGCATGCAGTTTTAAATAGTACTTTTAATTAACACAATATTAACGGGAGACGGCTGCAACAACATCTGTTGCTTTGATGACAATCAGCTCACCCATTTCTCTAGGATCAACGGTCGTTTCAGTATTACAACCAAAAATACCTCATATCCTCTTTCAAACAATCCATCCGTAGTTCTTCCTTTTCCAAAGTACAAAGCGTAATTTGAAGTTTTACTCTCAAATCACAAACACAACAACTCTGTCTTAACTCAATTTCAAGTATTTACGATTATGAAGTTATTTGTTGCATAAAGGTCATGGGTAAAGTTACTTTTTAGTGATAATTTAGATGAAGTAAGTTTATGTCTGGACTGTGTATGCGAATTTAATATAGTAGCGTAATAAAGTGGAGAACATGGCGTTGTTAGATGGCGGGCGGCGCGGCGGCGAGCGGCGGATGCACGTTAGATTAGCGAAACTTTGCTTTCCACCGTCAGTTCCCTGAATAGTTTGTTTATGTAGTTTTCAAATTTCATAACGCTCCTTTAAGTTTGTCCTGTCGTCCTGTGTGCGTTTTTAGAACGTATATTCTATAGAATCATACAGACATTCCCATTTTATTTATAGGAATACCTATAAAATTCGTATTTCATATACAAGATATATATGCGTAGCTGATTACGGAAAATTAATTTTTAAACATTTTTATGTTTGTCTGTCCTCGCATTTGTTCCGGGACGTCTGGACCGATTTTGGCAAGACTTCGACGGGAAGGTAGTTGATGCAGGCGGACATATTATAGCCCACTTTATTATTTCCAGCTAAGTCGAGTAAAGTAAAAAAAATAATTTAAAGGAATTAAAATTTTTAACGCTAACTTTTGTTACAAATCTGTGATAAATCTTAATAAAAGAATCACAACGTCTTGGTTCAAGACAATAAATAATTAAAGTTCTTTTTTCATTTGCTCTCAGTTTCGGACACGTCGGCCGTGTGTGGTTTATCCGACATCCAAGGCAGAATAACGTCGCCCGAGGGAGGAAGCAACGGTAAATCATTATTAGGCTGTGTCGTAAGACGCGCCATGTCTTTGTTTGAGATTTAATTTAATAAAACAATGGAAAGTTCCTATGGAACTAACAATTGATATTATGTAGTGTATTGCCGTAAATAATTTTATTAAAAGATGAGAACCGAAAAATGACCATAATATTTTATGACGGTCTGTCCTCGGCGGTATTTCCAAACCAATACGACTTAGTGTCCTTCAAGAAGCGAGCCGATCACCGCCTCAAAGGCCGGCAACGCATCTGCGGTTCCTCTGGTATTGCTGATGTCCATGGGCGTCGTTGAACACCTCAGTGTTCCCGCTGCTCGTTTGCCCCCTTCTGTTATAAAAAAGAAAAGTACGCGTTAATTTTGTTAAATATAATAAAAAAGTTGCAACTAACATTAAAGACAACCCTTTCAGTGCTATTGATCCTGTTGGGACCATAATATTAATTACATACTCCAGTTTAATACTTTTTTTTATTGTAAAAATCAATTAAAGCAACGTAACTCGACGAATGAAGAAATCGCATCGTTAGACAGGTAAGCAGAAAGCGCTGTCCGAAACCCTCCTTCGGCTTAATTAACCCTCCGCCGGCCAGGAGCGAATATTAAACGTCACAAATACATTTATTTGCACGATATTACCGCTGTTTTATGTTTAGACAACCGAAAGGGACATTTATTGACATATTAAAACATGCTGTATACCGATTGTTTTTTTTTTATGTAAACGATCAATCAGATTTAATTAGATTGATTAGATTGTTATATAAGCTCTACTACTAACTGCCACACTCAGAATCATTAATTCGGCCACTAAGGAATATCTTATGAGTGGATTCAATGTTAGATTTTAACTAAAGGTGTTTAAGTAATTATTAAAGAACTAAATACGACAGTAAGCCTTAATTCTAGATATATGTAGGTAGACAGAAATATTAGGAAGTTGATTAGAAGCAATAATATATATTTCTAAATTATAACGCTCGAGAATCGGAGATTATATAAAACAAAAATAGAAAAAACAATAAGGAAATACTGTGTAATTAAATTTATTATGATTTTTATCTTTATTTCATATTTCTATTTCGACTTACAAGTTTCAGAAGTATCAAATAGTTCAATTTAACCTATAACGGTAGTTAAAGGTTAAACAATCTCGACGTCTCTATATCCATATTGAGCACGAGGTCGTTCGAAAGCGATTGAACTTTATTCCAGTTTTAACATTGAATTGTTTAAAATTTGTCATATATGTTATTGTATTGGTATATAGTATCATATGTTATTAGTAAGAATGTTTATTTCCGCAACGAAATCTTTTGAGCCCATTTCCATGCCTTTTAATATTACTATACTTATCTTTTTAGATTGTTAAAGTTCTTAGAACTTACTTACATCTCTACTTCTTTTACAGAAGAAAAATTATTTTATTATAATCTGTTATAATCTATATTCTACGAGGAATTTAAAAAAAAACTTTTTTTTTTATATCAAAAGGTGGCAAACGAGCGAGCGGCCACCTGTAATCGCTGAAATAGCGAAGTGACCGTTGCCCATAGAAATTGCATATGCGTTGCCTACCTTTAATCGACGGAGGAGAGGTTGCACAGAAACAAAATATCTTAGCTTTCCATGCATCCTCTCATCCGGAAAGTCCACTTCCACTTCCCATCCTTTCCTTGTAAAGAAAAGGGTGGGAAGGGAAAGAGGACTAAATTAGGCCTCCGGGACGCACACTCATCAGACGAAACGCGGAATTGCTTCCACTTTACCCCTGTCTTCTGTGTGGTCGTGGTATTTCACCGGGCGAGCCGGGCCAATACGTGCGAAGATGTTAAAGCGGGCTCTACCACTGTTAGACTAACTTTATAAGTAGCCTATGTGTTCTTCCAGTCTATGTTATACATGTCTCCGAAATCTTTTATTAATATACTGAATCGAAACCGTACAACTTGTTGACAAATAAACCAACAATACGCGTGTCGAGAAAAATCAACGTCTAAAGTTAAAACAACAAACCGATGATTCATGATACAAACATAACTAATTATATTTACCTTCTTAATGAGTCAACCCTTATTCAAAAATTAAAGTGCCAATTACTCACGCTTCAAAAATGAACACAATTTTATAAACTTTATTTGAGTCATTGGAGCAAAAAATGTTACATACGATATCACCCCTAAGCAATGGGCCCTTCCAGTAACGAAGTCCACACATCAACAATGGCGTATAAATTAAAAAATAACCGCGTGGATATTCGCGAGTCGAGTTTATTCGGTGCGGTCTGCGCATGAGTGAGAGAGTCGCGACAGTTAATTTTAGCCCAGTCCAGAATTTCGCTGGCCTATTTCAATTTCGACGCGAACGGCAGATTTGTGATCACATCCCTTTTGCAATTATTTCCATTAGTGACCAAGGAAACGAACTCTATTACTGTGTAAATAGCTGTTAAGTTAATACATTGATTAATAAGTGGATAAAGTTATGTGCAATTGTTTAAAAGTGTAAACAGTGTAACGAATTAGTGAAAATGCGAAAATATTTACTAATTGCCACGTTGTTATTGTCGAAACAAGGTTTGTAAATATATTTTCTAATTGATAACATAAACAAACCGAGAACATAAATATATATATATATATATATACATAGCCAAATAATTTATAAAATTTAATTAATTTAACATTTAAACAATCATTTGCAAGGTAAAGTAAATAAAGGAAAGAGGATATGTGCACGAAGGGAATGAATTCTTAACATGAGACGGTATGCTTTAAAATTTATTCAAAATTCTTGCAGCTCCAGTGAGCTGTGTCCGTCTCCTGGAGCTACGTGTGCCGGCCCACGCAGCAGAAGGCGGCGAGGCGATACTGGGATGTCAGTTCGACATGGAAAGAGACATCCTCTACTCCGTAAAGTGGTACAAAGATGGCAGAGAATTCTACAGATACGTACCTGACAGTCAACACCCCATCAGCCACTTCGCTACTCCGGGAGTCATGGTCGATGTATGTAGGTTGGACTTTTGTTTTATTTTTATTAATGATACCAGATGTCGCCCACGACTCCTACCTATTGGAAGCAGAAAAACGAATTTCCAACGTCAATATTTGTGTCAGATTGTGACGTCATTCAAGGGCAGTGAGACGAAAACAAAATATAGTACACAATGTTTACAAACTTTTGTTTTATTATTTTTTAAAACCATATAAATCTAAAAGTTAAACTGCCAACATCAATTTATGCGTTAAATAGCATAATAGAGTTATTTCCACAAAGTATTTCAAAGCGGAACATTAACATATTATTTGAATTGGCTCTCTAACTTTTTAAAATTATGTTTAATATTTTAGCAGTTTCTTGAAGAGGCACTCTAGTTGTCGACCCGGTTATGAAAGTAAAAAAAAAACTCGATGTATATATACGATTGTGGGACTTTAAAAGTTATATAGAAATACTTGAAAATATTCATAGTCGGTTTACACTTTTAAAACGTAAATATTATTTTAAACTCAATCGTAATGCAAACTTAAATTAAAACAGAAAAATAAATAGTAAATAACGACAAATACCTGAATATCGAAGAAAAATTAATTTGAAAAATGTTAAACTACCGACAATCAATAAAACTCACAAGAGAATGTTATTTCGTTGATGACGAAGAGGACGTGTTGCTGTGACGTCATACAGTTAGACAATCGCAGAAAACTGCGAACTGGCAGCTGGACCGCAGCTGTAAACTAACACATTAAAAAAAACACTTTTATGAACGCGCCTGAGTGGAAAAATTTTGTTTACGACTATGTACAGTCAAAGTCAAAATATTTGTACGATCCTTTCTCATTTGTATACTCTAAAAAATATTTTTAATTTTCTATTTATAAATAAATTTTTAATATTAGCATTTAATTCTAATTAACGGACTTTGTCAGCACAGAATTTAAAAAGTAGCCTTAAATATTTACGCATGCATCTACTTTCCCGTCAAACGCGGCCTTGCGGCCGTTATCAACAAACATTTTATTATCTCTTTTTCTAAAGAGAATGATAGAGAAGGCAATATGTTGTATACAATTTTCGGCACGAGGAACTCACGGCATTTAGTAGCACGAAGATGGATTTTCACCCGGATATTTTATGTACACATAATTTAAATGTAATTCTCACGTGAAGGTTTATGTTACAATTCGTTAAGGGAAACTATAATTAGAAGTTGTAATGTAAGCTTTGATTGCCGCGCCGCTGCCATCTCATCAATTACCAAATAATTCCTATTTCCAATTAATTTATTAAGTTCGTACATTTACGTACAGCAATTAAGCGTACACGAGGTGTGTAGATTTTGAAACATGTCAGTTTTGACCTACATACATATATACAAAGATTTAAATACTGAATAAATAGGAATTTCAAGTAATTTCATAACAATTTTTATATGTGAGATTAAAATAAAATTAATATGTGGTAAATTATCATTCTCTAATCAGTTGGTACGAATTTACAAACGAACGAAAAGGTCACCAGTCCGTCTTCTTTTAAAAAAGCCTTCGTCTAACCTTAGTGCCCCAACTACATCGGCCATGCCGTGGGAAGCGAGTTAATGTTGATGATGAGTTAATGGTGATGATATTAATGATAATCCTTATTTTGCAGGTGAGGCGGTCGTCCAGTACGGTGGTAACCCTAGTGCACCTGACGCGGGAATCTGCTGGCCTGTACCGCTGCGAGGTGTCCGGGGAGGCGCCACTCTTCGCCACAGTCCACGAGGAGAAATATATCACAATATATCGTGAGTTCGTCTGTTAAATTTAATATTTTATAAAGCTCATTGCCACCGCTTCACCGTACATATTGACTTTAACACATAATGGCATGAAATATGTTAATTGAAAAAAAACTTTGTATGCTTAAATCGAATACCAGAAATTACTAATAAATAAAACAATAAGGTACAATGTACTCTTTATATGAATTTGGAAAATATTCATTTTATATTAATATCCTGGAATATTAATTAAGCCACGACTACGACGACATTAATTATCTGCTATACCAACCTACAGAGCGTGGCCATCGGGATTTCCTTTGTACAAACAAAGACGTATTCATATTCAAATGTTTCTAAAATTTCATGCAAAACTACGTATAATATAAATAACATGTATTTGGAAATTATTAATAATTTCACTTTAATATTAACAAAATAAACATTTACCGGAAAAGGCTAACCTATAATTGAGTATAAGCAATTTCAATAAACAAAATAATTGCTATGAATTTTAGCCAGGGGCGTTTATGCAGTCAATCATTTTAATTTGTCTATATCTAAGTAATTTTATTCTCGGTGAATATAAAATGTCGCTTTCTTTTCAGTGTTACCTGAAACAAAGCCCATATTAACGGGATTAAAAGAGAAATACAACGTCGGTGATCGAGTAAGAGCAAATTGCACATCATCAGGTTCTCGACCAGAAGCTCAATTAAAATGGCTCATTAACAATAGATTAGTTGGAAAGAATTACATACGAGGACCATGGTATCGAGCAACTATGCGTGATGACGTCACAGAAACTATTTTAGAATTGAAGTTTACAGTGGGATCGCATCATTTCAATTTTGACACAATGGAACTTAAAGCAAGTAGTTACTTTTTATGAAAGGAGAAAAAGGTGCAAGCGTCTTGTCTCCTTCTTCTCTTTATCAGTCAGTCAGTCGTTTGTTTTCTGTGAGACCTTACTATCGTACTTCTTACTAATATTTTAAATGCGAATGCCTAGATAGATGGATGGGTGGATTGATGGATGGTTGGATAGATGTTTGTTTGAAGGTATCTCCAGAACGCCTGAACGGATCCCGTTTAAATTTGGCTTAGATATAAAACCTAGTTTAGAAGAACGCATAGGCTACTATATTTTTTTTATTCTACGCGGACTGCAGCTTTCATTTAATTTTTTCTCACTTTCCAGTGTCAAGCAACAATAGCACCATTGTATCAACAAGAGACTGTTTATCAAGTGTTAAGAAAAGATATTATTCCGATGGATTCCTTTACGGATATACCGGAGCTAGGTGAACAGCCGGTTCCCACTTTTCCAGATTTTGGCGACACTAGTAAACTACCATTAGAAGATGAAACTGGTTAGTGAATTATACACCAAGATATTAATATCTATAATAAATAAAATTGGAATGTCTGTATGTAATATCGTCGGAAAAAATGATGTGCCTACTTAGATATTTGAGTTGTTTATAACGAAGACACTTTTTAAATTTTTTGTATATATTTGGTTTATCTGTCTATCCGCAAATCCGCGTTTGTTTCGAGTAATCTCCAAAACATCGACTGATTTTGAACTTTTACTGGAAGGTAGCTTATCTGTGTGTTAATTTAGGTAACTTACATATTTCTTACTCTCGTGCTGACGAAATCACAGGCTAGTTTATATAGGCAGGTACTGTTAGGAAGAATATCCGGAAATGAGTTAGTGTATTGACTAGCCTTACTAAAATGTCGACGTTTGTGTCCCTGTCGCAGTCATTTTGACACTACACTTTGTAATTAAAGCACGACATTCGCGACAAAGGATTGTAACTAATAATGTCGAAAAATTATGTATTTTACTACAGTGGGTTCAGATACAACTTCGTTCGGCGTATCTCCATTTCCGGTTCATCCTGTATTTCATAAATTTTGTCAAAAATAATAGAGAACGCTAAAAATATTTCTTTTGTTACAGATGCTGCGGGAACTGAACTGCATTTAGACAAATTGCTTACATTATTCTTATTGCTGATTAACTTTTAATGTTCGTTAACACAACAATGTTACTGCCTAATGCATTTTACGATGGACCCAATTTATGTAGGCTAATATGTTTTCCTATTAACAATTTAATTTAAATATAGTTATAAATTATTTCTTAATTTTTTTTAATCATCAATATTATATATTATGATTACATGGATGGATGGATGTTTTTCTGAAGGTATCTTCAAACAGCTGAACGGACTTCCATGAAATTTGGCATACATATAGAACATTGTCTGGAACACAGGCTACTAATTACGTTTTTTTAATTCCGAATAGACAGAGTCGCGGGCGACAACTAGTGGTTATGATTTAAAATGATATTTGTTATCGTATTACAGAATCAATCTATAGAGATGTGGTTTATTATTTGCGCTGAATGACAAATTCCATTTATTTCGTGGTCGCATGTCATCTGGTCGTTGAGGACTTCAGCGAAATGATAAGCGTTATTATTATAATCACACAAACATATTACATACAATGACAAACCAAAAATATGCCTAGTTATCTTTGTCAATTTAATGTACTTTTTTATAATACAGGAAGTACAAACTCATCAGTAATGTGTTCACCGAAATCATTAAAAAAGTGTGGAATATTGCCATTTTTTAACATGACTTCGAATCGACTTAATAAGAACTTTTCTTTGTTTCTTTTTCCAAACAATGTGATCTTACAGTTTCTGTTTCCAAGTCGAAACAAAAATATTTATGAGATGCAAAGATGTTTGTTTCAAGTCTAGGTTTACTTTGCCAGTTCTGTACTTTCTGTTAAGTTAATACTACGCTATACTGTAAGCAATATAAGTCTAGATATAGGTCTAGATTTTTCTAGAAGAAAGTATTTTCAAAGTTCTAACAATAAATTATAAGTGTGACCTTTTTAATTTAGTTTAAATAATGACATGTAAGTTTAATGGAATTATATTTTATTCGAACTTACAACCTTCGTAGCTTGTAAATTGTATTTAATTAACTTCTTATAAATCGCAAAATTAATACATGAATTGGTACATTTTATAAAACTACATCCATCATCATCATCATCATCAACCTGCCCTCATCCCTATCGAGGGTCGGCACAGTATGTACTACTCCTCCATACATCTCTATCAGCCGTCATATCCGAGTCTACCCCCTTCTTACGCATATCCTCTTTCACAGTCATTCCATACTTTTTTTGGTCTTCCCCTACCCTTGTAGCCATCCACATTCAATCTCATTACTTTTTTGCTTATATTATCATCATCCCTGCTCATAACATGTCCATACTAAACTAATAAAACTACATCCATCTTTTTGAGAATTTATTAACGGCCTCATTGAAAAAATACAAGAATATAATATAGGAGAGTGTCAGTCAAAAACAATTTGCTTTGTCCTGAAATAGAACAAAATATTACGATAATAAATTACGACATAGAATATATAAAGAATTCACATTATTTTATCATTGAATTTTTATTTTATTGCGGACTTATGAAGAAACTACATGTATATACACATTTCAAATACTTATATTTCTATTAATAAATACCTTTCACAAAAATACTTGTAAACATTTCAGTCCCATTCTACATAAATGGATTTTTTTTATAAAATTCAGCAAATACTCTAAAGGTTCTTTTAAAATATAGTTATATTCTATCGATTTCACAATTCTTCTCAAGCTTCTCGTCATCAGCCCAATGACGAGCTCGGAGTCTATCCCAACAAACTAAGCTATATTTAACGACGCTGGCCTAGTGGTGGTAATTGGATTTCGCCCATATCTCTGATATGTTGCAGGTTGCAACATGTCGTTACCCTTCCTCGTAAGAACGTAATGAAAACCTAAAACCTAGAAATGTAGATTTCTGTCCGGTTCAGTGGATAGCTTAACAACTGCGCCACCCGCACTTATACTTTTTATTTTTTTGGTTTATAGCCACTAAAAATAATTTAACAGTTTTGATGCAACTGGGACAAAATGAAACAATTTTAGTACTGCATAGCATGCATTTATTTTTCTCTTAAATATTTTTTTTCTTATTTTCTGTAACCACGTATTTATTATCGGACAGAAAGAAATATTCTGTTACATTATTTATAAACGAAATATTTAAAAACAAATGAGAAAGAAGAATTTATATGACCAATAATTATCGTTCAATTTCATTTCATTAAGACTTGATAAAAACAATTGAAGATCAAGGGATATTAAAATAAATCCATATATAAATAACGGTGTTGATAACGATAACTTTCGTTCTTTCATACTCTTTGACAAAACAGACTAGGGTATGAACAAAGAATATAACAGAATATTTTTCCAATAATAAATACTCGCCTTTATATAATTTAGCTATTACTAACAATTCAATCATACCTACGTATTATCACAGCTCTATTTTTATAGGAAGAGTAATCGCTCTACTGCCGCAACCAATAATCAAACCTCAATCCGAGATAGAATTCGAAATTATTATAACTATAGGAGATTACAAAAATGATAGGATTATTTTTAAATAAAGATTTCCATGCGATCTATCAAATTTGAAACAAATGGATTAGAAATTACATCTAAATAGTCACATAATGTGAAATCTGTATTTTATACAGCGGCGGATCCATTTTTGTAATCTTAGAGATCGATTATTAATACCAATTACATTGTAATTAATATTATTGGTAATGAAATCATTCGGTATTACCACTACAAAGTTCTAGTAATCATTTGTTCTGCGGTTAAAGGACACTAAAGAACTTACAATACTCGATTAAAATATAAATACTACTATTATTCATGGAGTAATAAATATTGTTGTGTATACTAGATGCCACAATATTTTCACACAGGTTGATTTTTTTTATTAATTATTTTTAAATCATCCTGTATTCATTTAATAACTTACAGTTCTATGAGATTTGTGTACCATAACATTTGAATGGTAATAAAGATTACAGGATGTTATGAAATATCTTTGTAAGAGTCACATTAGAAACTCTACGTCATCATCATCAGCAGCAGCAGCTTTGTATTCGTTCTTACTGAGAGGTAAATTAGGGGTGATGAAACTCTACTAGATATCCATTTATCTTATAAATATGTCAATAATTTAATTGTTCATAAATTAACTCAGGAATTATTCTCTACATAATGACAATTAAAATCTCAATCAATTAATAATAGATATTAGCAACAAGAAAAACATAGTTCCTTGTTATATCGTTTACAATCATTGCTTAGAGATTACGAGATCGTTTGCAAATGTACAACTTCCTTGCGTTTCTTACCGCGGAAATGTTCTTCGATTTCAGCCAGCGACTTCCCTTTCGTCTCAGGGACCATGAATAGAACAAAGAAGAACGCCATTGCACAGAACGCGGTGTACATCCAGAATGTGCCCGCTGACGTCAGCACAGCCTAGTTGAAAGGAATATCAGAATTAGTTACAATATCACCGTAGGATTCTACTGAACGTGGTGCACATGTTGCTGTCTCTGTCTTGCTTAAGAGAATGAAAGTGATAACAATATGCAATATAATTGTCACCTTAGTGGTATTTTAAGGTATATTACATAGATATCCCAGAAAACTTTGTTTCAGCAATCAAAGTCAGAGACGACAGATAGGAGACGAATATAAAGGAGTAGGTAGAGTTTATGGACATCCATTTAAACAATCCTGGCATATCTCTCTTGCCTCTTCCGTATACATCTACGCTCGTCTTATATATGCTTGATAGATTGATAATACCACTATTATAATAATATATTCTATCTTAAAAAAATATTTAATAACCCTAATTAATTAATGTCAGCGTTTAAGAGATAAAGTGACAAAACGTGAGAAATATTACCTCAGCGAGATGAAAGCACTTTAATATAGAAAATAAGCACCGCAATTTACCACTATTATTTAGAATTATTAAATTTAAATATAAATTCAAAATAAAAGAACTCATACGTTTTATATGAATATGCGTTTTTTCTAGAAGAAAAAGTAGAGATTCTTTACCATATAATTTCAAACATTACTTCTCGGACATTTGTTGTGGCATAAACGAAGGTCAGGTGTTAGGCTTTATCTATTAAGAAAAAACATTGTCACAAACGAAACTATTCTGTCTGGCAGATAAATCGTGCAAAAGTAATTACAGAGTACAAGGACGGTGATGTTACAGCATATAATGTATTGCGTCCGTCTTGTTAAGCCTTTTGTTATATTAAACAACACTATATTTTATGGCGGAAGCAACCAGCCCACATGACTTCAATTATAAGGGCTCCTGCATATCTTCGGAGTATGGATCCTTGATCGAACCAATCATTCTGCCACTATACCTTTAGTAAACATAATAATCATATTCCGTGTACTTAAAAAAGAATCATCAACTTACTTCCAAAGCATGGTAAGACTTGATAACGGTGAACATAGAGAGAAGGTTGACAGCACTAGCCATAGCTGAGAGTTGGGAGCGGTACTGTGTCGGAAAGAGCTCGCCCAGTAGTAAGAACGGTAGGCCACCGAAGCCGAGGGAGAAACCAAGCATGAACACAACCAAACTGATGATAGGTAGGTATCTGAAAAGAAATCACTGTTAAGTACATCTGGTGCCTCTGAGTTCAAGGACACAAGAAAACACTTGCAAGAGCATCTAAATCAACACGAAGACATTCGTGATTAACAAATTAAGTTATATTTGTTTGGAATTTAATTATCACGTTACTTACCCGAGCCACGATTCCGCTTCGAACTGGAAGTAAAAAGCTGCTCCCATCGAAGCCATGGAGACGCACATTGTGACCGCTGAGAGAAGCAGCAGCGGTCGACGACCTGCGCGGTCTACTAGCATCGTGCTCACACCATTGCTGATCAACTGAACTGCACCGACTACTATAGTCGCCGTCATTGCTTCCAATTTACTTCCTAAGACAAAATAAGTATTTTTAGAAAGTTAATTCTAGATCATTGATGAAGGAATCTTAGAAAATTATTTTTGAAAATAAGTTAATTTGTGATGACAACAATCTTTTGGTTAATAAGTTCATTGAAAACGTGTATCTTAAAAATGATTCTATAAAGCAGATGTAAAAGATGTCACAATTTTGACTTTATTAGACACACATTTCGAATGTAAATTTTGACCCAAATTACCATTAAAATGTATCCAGTCGATGTTGTGAATATTATCACAATAAGGAAAATTCTTTACGTAGCTCACGGTTGAGAGCACACAGAAATATTTAATATACAGAATTCAAGAAACCTTAAACCTTCTTTGCATTTAAGTTAAAGCCCATTTATGCGATGCAAGTTTCTTGCCTTATCCATACAATTGAATTATAGCAATAATAGACTTGTGTGGTCTAAACAGCATATAACATTCTCTATCTATCATAGAAGCCTTAATTCATCACGATTCATATATATGCCAAATTTCAGACTACGTTCTACATCCATGCCAAATATCAGAAAGAGCCGTTGAGCCGTTGCAGAGATACATTCTCATAAACTTTCGCATTTATAATATTAGTTAGATATACCAAGGTCAGAATAACTGGTTTGAAAATGGCCGAAAGGGAATGTATTAATGTAAAGGGTATAATATCATAATTATAAAATTAATCTGTTGTCTGTTCTATTTACCGGTAGCAGAGTGATCATTTCTTGGTAACCTAATCAAGACTTACTAGGTAATTTTTAAACAGTAAATGCACGAGATTATTTTACAATGTATGTATCAAACGTTTTTAGGGTTCCGTACCTCGAAAGGAAAAAACGAAACCCTTATTATATTCCACCACGCTTGGTTTCTGATTTTATTGCACATCTAACTTGAACATTAATGAAAAATTCATTACTAGACTTACAAACACTTTTTAAAGGATAAACTAGATTACACTTACTGTAACGGGTACGGTTAAATAAAAATGGTACGTAGGTGCTTAAGATTTAAATTAATTATTACCTGCACTCTGGAAGATTTCAACAGTGAAGAATATGACGGCGTCAATACCACTGAACTGCTGGAAGATGAGCAATGCAAAGCCAACAATGAGAGGTTTGATAACCGCAGACGATAGGAACACTTCCCGTGTAAACAAACTCTTTGGTTCTGATTCTGGCGCTTTTCTAAAACAAAAAAGAAGTGATCAAAAAGTAATCCTTATTTCTACAAGTAATGGGTTATTAAACCGGTAAAACAACGGTAAAAATATAAATAAAAATCATAAAATCATCAGCTCGAAGCAGGCCTTGACTATAAGAGTATCCATCGTTCGAGATCCTGCGTTACCTCATTCCTGTCTACTAGTATAAGTACGTGAAGCTTATACAAATCCCTCTCTAGCGATACATGAATAATTAAGTTGTAAGTCGTTTAATAAATCTTACTCGGGATGTTTTTCATCATCATCCTTAACAGTGGCGACGGCGCGATTAGACAACTGCAGCCAGTTGATAGACGGCTCGGCGTCCAGACCACGCGCTTTCAGCCATACCGGAGACTCCGGCAGTGGAAGTAGGACAAAGAAGAGGGCCGCTAAAAGATGATACTACTATTAGGCATTTTATCTTGTATTTGAATTCAAAACATTACACATTACTTCTACAACTCTGGATGACTTGCTTACTTTAATAAATCTACGACGAAAGGCGGTAGTACAAATGACTTAATTGATTAAATTATTTCAATATAGTAAGTACACCTATACACATATAGTACAATATAGTAAGTAACATAGTGAACTATGTAATTACGTGATATAAAAAAGAATGTAATTTAACGTTTTTTGATTACTTCCTATAATAAACACTTTTGTATTAAGATACTTTTAACCAGTTATGCAATTATGTTCGTACATAACCTACATAAAAGTAATTAAAATAAAAACAGATTTAAAATAACAAAGCACAGCCAAAATGACAAACTGCACACACAGAACTACGACTAATAAAAATGCTTCTTAATTTATTTGGATGACTAATAAACGTAAAAGCTCAGTGAATTATTTAATAACATAAAAGTGCAGGTATTACTGAAAATAACATAAAAATATAATGCTAGTTTTATAACTACCACAAAATGCAGCGGACAAAAAGGCGAGATGTCTCCAGTACAACCAGTTACCGGCAACGTAGGAGATGAGGATGCCCAAAGACATAGAGAGAGTGGGCAACGAGCCCAATCTGCCGCGAATCTCGGGGTCGCAGCACTCGCTCACCTGGATAACAAAGAAATATGAACATTGGTAGTTTTAGAACGGATATTAAGAAAAAAGAGGTTAAATAAGTTTAGAGCGGACATTCGAAATATTTGATTACACACACATATATAATGGTCTTCCATAGCGCTTAATCAAAACATTCCCTTTCAAAGATTTATGAAAACATGACCAATTTAGGAACGCAAAAGAAACACACATTTACATTTGCTATAGAGGAAGATAATTTTTACGCGACTGTTGTGTGTGTGAACATGCACTATAGAAATCCTTGACATTGGCTTACACAATTTCATAGTTCCGAATATAAATACTTTTGATATCAATCTTACTAATATTATAAATGCGAAAGTTTAGATCGATGGATGTTTGTTTGAAGATATCTCCAGAACGGCTCAACGGATCTCGATGAAATTTGGGATACATATAGAACATAATCTGGAAGAACACATAGGCTACTCATTAAGTTTTTTTTTTAAATTCCGCGTGGACGACAGCTACTATAATATAAACGAACAAAAGTGCATTAACAAAGTACACAATAATCAATTGAAAGTAATAATTAGCGCAGTAATATTGTCATTAGCCACAATAAGAGTGTTTGTATAACACATGAGACAAACACGTTCTACACAAGTGTTGAATTAAACTCAACAGCTTCTTGTTTATTTGTAAAATGAACTGTATGTTAGTTTATCGATCCGTTCAAACGTTGATAATTTGTTACAATAATCTATTTGTTTTCATTCAGCAATATTATATAGCTTGTAATTTCATGGTCACTTGAAAATTACATTTGAAACATCTGGAGAATGGATTTGTTAGAAATAAGAACTTTTTTTAACTAAATATTAGCAGATTTTTTTTGGAAATTTACTAATATTTCTTTCACTATTCCAACTAAGCTCTAAGCTTGTGCTAGGATATGGTTTACGACAATAGTTGAAAAGCGGGATTCGAACTTTCGAGGGCGTGATCGGAAATCCGTACCCTTAACCATTAAGCTATTGACGCTTAAAAGAACGCGAACTTTAAACGCATAAGAAAAAGGAACTTTTGCTTTATGGAATTTAAGCAGAATGTTATGAAAAAATTATGAGATAAAAATATCATTGGCATATCTTAAGTAACCATGGTACATCTCGTTATCTAATAGTATCTACTAAAGATATATTTTATCGCCTAAAGTGGAGTTCAATACACTGATATAAATTATAAATAGAATGATGGATTAAACATTCAAATTATTGACATATCGAGTATTTTTTTTTTCTTCAGATCGGTACGAAATTAATTTAAGACATAAGTGTAGCATGTAAAGTGTTGAATGAGTAATTTATTCATAAATTATTTTTTGGTAAAACAAAATATTTGTACAGGGGTTTAAATAAAAATCCTTTTTTTGAAAAAAAATGCGTTAATATTGTAGAACGTGAATAGCAAAAAGGCATAGAAAACTGATATAACATAGTGAATTCGAAAATATACATTACATCTTTTTCCTTTTAGTAAATGGCAGCTAAACTGTTATAACTCCTTGAACAATAGTTGAAGAGTTTTTAAATTTGGAACTCGTTATTATTCTTCCGAGACTCTATTTTTTTATTTCTTTTCATTAAAAAATAACAACAGTCATTAATTATGTTTTGTTTTAAAATATCCACTTCTGAGTATTGTTTGAATGATTTTATTATCAACACACTTTTTGCACATACTGTTTTTATTCGGTTGCAAAACGTGTTTCCTTATAATTAATTATTAGCCTCTCAGTACGGGACAAATCGCTTAAGCTTCAATTTAAATTTCTTTGATGTCGCATTTTTTAAAAAAGAGCAATAACCTCTTACATCTATTGTTTTTCACTTCTACTGTGTACATGTATGTTCATACAGAGAACAATTGTTTTAAACAAAAAAAAGTTTACTAACCTATGGAGAATTAGATGCCAGAAAAAAATAGAGACGAAAAAGTACTCACGTAAACTTGTGCGGGTGCTAATACGAAGCCAACACATAGACCGGACAGGAACCGTCCGACTAGGATGAGAGCGAAGCCGGGAGCAAAGCCTAGTAGCAGCCAACCGCCGGCCCAGACCGGAGCGGTCATCTGCAGAGTGCGCTTTCGACCAGCTCGCTGCATCAGCGGCCCTGACAGCATGCTGCCCAGGAACGCGCCCAATGGTGGGATAGCTCCTGCAGACAAAAGATTCCAGATATAGATTTTTTACAACAATAATAAATAATAAACGTCTGCAAAAAAAATCCTGCACTATTTGGTTGATCTTATTAATGGGGGTACTCAAATTAGATTAAGTTTATCAAATAAAATTTAATTTATTCCGTAGAAAGAAATAAAATACTATTGATACCTATTTTCGCGCGGATTGATGTGAAGCAAAAAATCTTTTAACCGAAATAGATTCAAAGTAATAAAATCTACCTATTTATGAAGAAATTTCTTAAAGGGGGATTTAGTTGCAGATCAATAATTTCGCTTTAAGAGGCAATTATTCAGATACATAAATGTTAAAAGGTTGGTAGTCAAATCTAGAAGTTTCCTTCGTGTTTTCTTCGACACATAGTATACCTCTTAGAAATAATATAAGATGAAAATAAATTCGTATCCAATGTAGTTACACAGTTGAGGGGAGTGAATGATTTATTTATAAACCAGTTACCTATCCATGACTTCTGTTCGCTGTGTTGTATGAAGGAGGGGTCGAGACTCTCAATTGACGGTAACGCGGAAGCGGAGTAGCCCCTCACCAGACCGATGATTAGAAACGCCAGAGATGCGCCGAACGTCAGCCATAGCTTTAACAATAGACACACGTTTACAATCATAATAATCTCTCTTGGGCAGTCATACAAATAAGAATAGTAAATTAGAGTGTAAATTCTCATTAAAAATTCTATCCAACAAAGAAAGCGTTTTAAATTTAGTCTCTATCAATTATTTCGTCATAAAAACATTAACAATGAGCCAAAGCTCATAACCCATTAGCGATGACAACGTAAAAGACAGCCCCATCTCTGTCTAATTATTACTTCGCAGATATTTTTTATTTTCATGATAATTTCATTGTTTACAAAATAAATCAGCGTCGCTTAAACGTTAATCGAGTTACAAAGATAAACATTTGATATTTGAGGGTGAATTCAAAGTTTGTGGTTGAAAATTCGATAATCGTATTCAAACCAATTTAGGCCTGATCAATATTGGCGTACCGGAAGCTCTGAATATAAACGAACAATGAACTCAAAGTAAATTTTGACCACATTGTGTATATTAGCTAACTTTGAATATTCTTTTAAGAGACAGGACCTGTCAAGCTTGTACATTACCATCTGTTGAATAAAAACACACACGTTCGTAAGTTTTAAATTTGCCTGCTTGTGTGCTCATTTTATGTAATTAGTCATGTCATGATGCATTGATAACGACGTTACAAAGACGCTCAATGTTAGTATGATATGCACATGTGTAATGTCATATGTACGTCAAACCCGCGGTACAGCCTTTGCCTAGTCCGTTTCTCTATAGTCAAAGTTAGTTAAGCAAACAAATCCTTTTCATATAAAATGCGCCCAAGGGGTCTTTAAACGGTGTAACATTGCTTCGGTCACGTACAATCTTGACATTTTTTTATTACATCTATATTTACTTGTTAGGACCGAAACTAGGAACTTTTCTAATAATGTGTACTTACTTCCGTTAATATTTGTTTCATTATAGTGTTAATTAAATAACAAAAAAAATATATATATTTTTAGTTTCAATTTTTTAGTACTGGGACAGAGTCTATTTAAATTTGGAATTGAATAGCCAAGCAGATAATTTATTTTTAAAACATCTTATGAACGAAATATTATTACTTACTTTTAAATTATTTTTCATTTTTATTATTCACCAAACGGAATTGTAATATTGCAGTTGCATGTCTGCTGAAGATTTAATCATAATTAACTGTTTTAATTTCATTAATGCATAATGTTCTTCGGTTTTAAATTGAATGATTGCTATCATTCAATGAGGAAACTAAAGTTTAAGGACTCTTTGAAGCATTTAACATTTAGCCGCGAGCACGAAAATTACAAGCGGAGCGTCGCGATGGGCGGACCGGGGCGATGTAATCAAAATTTTAACGCAACTAGGTGTCGCCCGCGATTCCGTCCGCACGGAATTAGAAAGAAAACCTAAATAGTAGTCTACGTCTTCTTCAAGGCTATGTTCTACATCCATGCCAAGTTTCAACGAAATCCATGCAGCTGTTCTGGAGATATCTTCAAGCAAACATCCATCTATTCATCTAAACATTCGCATTTATATAATATTAGTAAGAATTCACATAAATGAACAATGTTTACGACACGAGCGGGAGCGGAGTTGTGCTTTTGATGACATCGCCCCGCTCCGCCAATCGCGTTGACCCGCTTGTTGGTAATTTCGTGGCCGCAGTCTTATATTGATTTTTACTTCATGTTTTTTTCAAGCAATTTTATTAATTCCAGTGATACGCCGATACAGTTACCACATATCTCTTAAGTAATATTATTTTATGTTTCTTTTTATCGTGTAAGTTTGTTTGTCAATTTTTTTTTTCTTCTGACATTTAAAAAATTAAAACGAGGTCTTTTGCACATTATAAAACTTGAAAACAATTTAACACTTATATTATTATTTGCAAGGTTGTAAGAATGTATATAAATATATTCTTCCAACCTCGAAAATAAGGATAACGATTAAAATTAAGGAAAATTATCAAAAATGCTTCATCTGTTCCGTAATATATAATGACTGTAGGTACCTACAGTCATTCAGGTTATTTCGATGTGCACATATTATTCCACGTACGCAGACAAACACACAAACGCACGCTTAGGAAATAATAATGGATTAAATCTTATATATAAAATTCTCGTGTCACAATTTTCGTTCCCATACACCTCCGAAACGAATTGGCCGATTCTCATGAAATTTTGTAAGCATATTGAGTAGGTCTGAGAATCGTCCAACATCTATTTTTAATCCCGGGTTGACTTCACACATATCTTTGAATTTCTTCGCAAATATGTGCAGGTTGCGTCACGATGTTTTCCTTCACCGTAAGAACGTCGGATAAATGTACATATGTAAATCGAAAAACACATTGGTACATGGCGGGATTCGAACCCAGGACCTGCAGATTGCAAGTCAAGTCCTTGAACCCATGAGCCACCGACGCTCTCACACAATATAACAGACAAAAACTGCTAGTGTTATTTACTTTTACCATTATTAAAAACATTAAAACCACCGAGTTTTCACTACCAATACTCATTTGTTATTACAATAAGTTACATATTTTTAATAACAAGCAAAAATATACGAAAAAAAAATTTAATATACCCGAGATGTACCGGGTTGGAATAACTAAGTACTAGTATGTAATTAAAATAATGTAAGTCATTGTAAATATCAAGGTTACAGGTGATAGCACTTGTTGAATAATTTTAACACACATTTTGGTAGAGTAGGGTGATCTGAAATTACCTTCTCTTATACAACCTAACCTTGGAATAAAGACATTGCTTAAATTAAAATGTATTTATGTGTTATATCTGAGGTTAAATAAGCATACTCTATGTTTCTCTATGCTCCCACATTATTATTCGCGATATCTAATTACAAGCGAATTACATGAGTTAAAAAGAAAGAAGATGAGGTCGAATTGTCTACTGCTTTGATAAAAACAGCATAAATGTTAGACAATACTTGACAAGACGGCACATTATACGACACTAGCTATCGCCTGCGACTCCATCTGCACACATGAAAACTTAATAAGTAGTCAATGTGTTCTTCCAGACTTTATCTATGCAAAATTTCAAGATCCTTTGAGCCGTTCCATCTATCCATCTACACGGTAGCATTTCTAATATTAGTAACATCGATTTTAATAATTTTTTTTTTAATTTTTTATTGCGATAAAACGCAACAGCTTATCAGTTAAAAAAGTTCAAAACAAGACAACAAAATAATGTCATTAGTATAATGATAGCGGATACACTGAATTCCAAAAATAGAGTCACAAAAAACCTCCGCATACAATAAGCATTTGAAATTGGCGTAGTCTTATATAGGTGTAATGCGATTGGCGGGCGGATGGTAGTGATCAAAAGTGATTTACTCGCAACTCGGCCATTGTGACCGCCGTTCTTGAAGTGTCCAAAGCACCGGTATTAAAGAGGGCGAGCAAATTACTTTGCTATCGTTCACGTGATAACGATTTAGTCAATTATATAAAGATCATGATAAAAATTGCAAGAATAGCTCGTCACATGGTATAAAAGATATGTCAATTTGGGATAAAATATGGTTATCGATTTAAGTTTTTTACTAACCTTATCTTCCTATATATTTTGTATATAAATACAAAGCTTATAACCGCTTATTCTGGTAAATAATTATGCAAAAATATATTCGATTTTAACCCAATTGAGATTCAATCTGTTTCCGCTTTTGCGGAACAATTTAACAAAATTTTCATTTAGGTCATCACATTTAAGTATAATAGCTATGAATTAGAATTTTGTATTTCAAATATTATTATTTTATTATTATTACTAATGTTATACATGCATATCTCCAGAATGGAGAAATTTAAAAACAAAATCTGAAAGGACTCATAGGGTACTATTTTTTTTCAATTCTGCGCGGAGCTTATGCTTAAAAACTAAGGAAAACAATATGTAATCCAATTGTGCGCAGAATAAAATAAAATTGTAATTCAATAAAATATCTTTCATATCAACATTTACTGGTCCATTCGAAAGTTGTTGTTTCTACGTGTTCAGATTTACTATTTGACAGAAATTCCAAACAAGCAGAGCGGGTCACAACTTTTTTTCATATAAAACTCGAAGCAGACACTGCGCCGTAGATTTTATTAAAAAACTCTCGCAAAACTAACAAAAAAGTACGTGATTGTGATACATCGCAGTTTGTTCTTTTTTTACTAACATAATTATTCAAACATAATCTAAATTCAAACACCTACACATATTCAAATTATCTATTTTTTTTATTATAATTATTGGCTTCAAAATATCACCAGTTTACATATTAAAAATAAAAAAGTATTGACAATCATACTTGTCACTGGCAGTGCGTGAAATTTTTCATGTTCAAATCACTGACGAATAAAAAAATTAAAAAGAAACATTTAAATAATTGCAAGATGACGTCATTTACTTCAGCTTATGTCAGCTGATCTCGTATCGAGTGGCCATCTCAAAGATATGAGAAAGTGTGCCTGAGATAAACGTATATCAGAATGGTTATCCAGATTAAAATAAATCTGTAGAATGAATCTTAAAATTTAAGACGCCACTTCAATAATATTAAACAAATACGGATGACTTAATAAACTATATTTAAATTTTTCTCATACAAATACATCGATCAGGAGATATTCCAAGAGACCACGATATTTTTCTATTACCTAAGTTTCTTGCTTATGAAGGTCGCCCGTAAAAACAGTTTAGGGAAGGTTAATTTGCCCTGGTGAGACATCGCAAAAGGAATTAATCGGTATGAATTAAATATTAACAAAAGTATAAGTAAAATGTACTACAACAGAAGATTTTGTAGTGCTATAGAAGTTTAACATGTTAATAATGAATACACTTTGATAAAGCAAATGCCTTTTAGCAGAATATATAGATTTTAAATCGTAGAGAGTTTACAAATATTCAAAGCGACCAACATCAAAGAAATCTTGGAAATAACATGAATAGCCGTAATAAACTACATGAATTAATATTACATTTTTATTCAACTTTGGTATTAGTCTCGGCATTTAAAGGTGATTATTTTTTTTTCAGTTTTTTCAAAAGTTTCAAACACAAAAACGTGTGAAAAATTTGCCATTTAATTATTAATACCAACAGTTAATGAGACTTACGTACATTTTGTTGAGGATAATACTCTGTATTTGTTTTACATAAGTATCTAAAAAAAGTCTTACTCAAGGTTCAATTGAAGCAGAATTGTATAGAACTGAATTCCCCATTTACATAGTTAATTTACTAATGCCGTACGTTTGTAATTTGCCTAGGTAAGTTATAAAAACATAATATACATACAATGTAAATTTACAGCATTTCAATTCATCATCATCAGCTCACTATATGTCCCCACCGAGGGACTCGGAGCCTACCCTAAGTTAGAGGTGACTAGACCATAGTCAACCACGCTGGCCAAATGCGGGATGGTTGACTTCACACATATCTTTGAATTTCTTCTCAGATATGGGCAGGTTGCATCACGATGTTTTCCTTCACCGTAAGAACGTCGGATAAATGTACAATCGGAAATCGAAAAACACATTGGTACAAGATGGGTTTCGAATCCAAGACCTGCATATTGCAAGCCAAGTGCTTGACCCATGAGCCACCGACGGTCATTTCAATTGCACAACCGTAAATCGCTTATGTTTTACACAAGTCATGTAATAAAAAGGAAGTGTTATATTTACATTTTGTAAGACAGTTAGAGAAATTATCATTGTTTTAAACAAAACAATCTTTATATAGTCCACGCAGTCGATTGCTTAATTGAAAAGGAATTTGTGAGTCATAGAGAAGGAAAGATGGCAGGAGGACCGGGAGATATAGAGAAGTGGAGACTGCCACGTTAAGAACTTACTACCACGTGGGTTTCTAAGACAAAAATCTCCGTTTAAAACATGTCTGTTTTGTCAAAGGTAATCATAGACGATACGTTTTATATAAAGATTCTGGTTTTAGAAACTTGTAGATGTAGAATAGAAACATTTATTATATTAATTAATATAATATTTAAGTAACTATTAAATGTAGAGCAGTAACTAGTACCCAGAGAAATCTTAGGGTGCCGATTAATGCAGAAAATACGAGAAACGTATATTCTGAGTACAGCTATAAGTTTGAAGGTCAAGGTCAACTTTTGAACACAACGTAATGTTTTTAGAAATGGATAGTTTTGAGAAGTTTTAAATTTTTAATTCATACATATAGACAATTCAATTTTATTAATTGTATAGCTGATGTTGGGTTTAATACTGTTATGTTTTTGCAGGTGCATAGCGTTATGATTCTGCTTTATAAACTTAGTACTTATATAAACAAATATATGTGGTTATATAATTTATTAACGTTTGGTGTCTTTAATTTGGGAATTCTTAAATCAACTTGCGTCTTTTCCTCCTGATATATTTACACTTAATTCAAAAGTTAATCAAAGTTTGAAGTTTTAAATAATATATATATGAACAGTGTATGATTAATTATTATAAAATATTTTAAATGCTTATAATTTAATTTTTTGTTCCAGTGTTTCTCATATTTTCTTACGTAATCTGCGTTGTTCGCGTTATAATATGCCAGTAAAACAGTCCGCAACAATTGAAATTAAATAATATTTCTACTGTTAAGAAATTTTAATATGTATAGAGCGACAAACTTATCTGACCCGCGCATTAGTGACACAAAATTGCAATAGCTCTCATTGTCAATGTCAAACAAGTAACAATCCTTGTTGTATTGCAGCTGTTTTTATGTTATTTTCTATGCTTAATTATTAATTAGGTGTTACGTATTATCTAACAGAACTTTCGATAGTGTCACCGGGCCAAACGTTTTTATATGACTACTTGAGCAGTAGAGAAAAATATCGTATCATTATAAACAAAAAAAGTGGAAAATTAGAAATGTGATAAACTAGCTGTTGCCAGGAACTCCGTCCGTGCGAATTTAAAAACTTAATAAGTAGCCCATGTGTTCTTCCTGTCTGTTCTACACCCGATAAAATTTCATCGAGGTAATTGAACTGTTCTGGAGTTCTTCTAACAAACATCCATCCATCTAAACATTCGCATTTGTTTTATTAGTAAGATAATATAAAATATTAATGAATCTTTCAACACAAATTTAAATAATGAAAATTATAATGCAACGTAATGATACTAATGGCGGTTAGTTCGCATGCTTACATTTTCCTACACCTTTGAATTCATACGTCTTACTCGATACTATAAACATTGCACGACAGTTGTTACACAGACGAACAATTATGCGAGTACACTGCTTAATACCTATACAAAAACATGTTGTGATATCGGTCGTTCCCTTTGAAAATATAGAGATAGAAATTAAGGGTAAAAGTTCACGATTAATTTGATATTATGAATGAATTTGGCAATCTTTACATATTTTTAAATGTTGTTATTTAAATTGTTTGGTTGTATTTATGTTTGTAAAGTTATTATTTTATAAGAATTGAAAGCATCTTAATGTAATTTAAGTTTACTATATCTTTGTTGACCTGGTCAAGGTTGCGGAAGCGTCCTGGATGCGGGTGGCACAAGATCGGTCATCGTGGCGATCTTTGGGGGAGGCCTATGCCCAGCCGTGGGCGTCTCATGGCTGAGTAGATAGATAGATATCTTTGTTGTATTAGGCCGCTATACCCAAATCCTTTCCACGAAAAAACAACGAAAAAGTAACGAAAAAAATCTCAAATTACTTATTTCATTCCTTTTATCAATACACAAACATATTTATTTAATGTTTTCCTTGTTAAGTATCAAGAATATTTTTAAGTAAAAATACATAAAAAACCAACAAAATAGTAAAAAAAACAAACCTGCTTGAGAAAAGCCGGTGATATGATTGTCATTTTAAATATCACCGAACTAAAAGCACGTTAACACACGAACAGGCCAGTACGGAACTAAACGTATTTTTAAAATTGCATAGAAAAAAAAAAGAAAAAAAAATCGTAAGAAGGAAAACGTTGGAGCGACTCGACACTCCGGCGCCACTGACTGCCGGCACAGAATGCAGACGCGAGCTGGCCACACGGACTCTTTTAATTATTGACAAGCGATAAAAAAAAAACTAAATACAAAAAATCCATCGCAAATCTGTTTACAATAGTCATGTGAGCTATGATAATCTATATCGTGTTAAGTACTTGTCAATCATATTGTATGTTATATTTATTTTTTTATTCACTAAACTCTTAGAAGTACTTCGCTAACATGTCAATGAAAATATGTCACTTGAAGACTCAATGTAAATAGGTCGAGGATGGTAAATATTTGCTCACGCACTGTGATTGGACCTTGAAAATTTGTCGGACTTACATATCGCGAATTTTAATTCAACCACACAAAATAGTGAACTCCCGGAATATGTCTTGAGTTTAATTCCCTCATTGTAAGTAACGATCTATTACTCTTCGTATTATATCTTTTAAATTGAGTTTTACCTTAAAATTTTTATTATAAATCTTCGATAAATTAATTAAGAATATGTATACATATTATGATATGTGATAGATGAATCTAAACGTAGGTCTGAGATCAAAATCCCCGTTTAAAACCATTATCACTCTTTTTTTTAAATTTACATTTTATTGGTATTACCAGCCAGGCTTCTGCTTGTGGCAAGGTATCGTTAAGTACTATAACATAGTAACATTGAAAAGACGTTAAAGAGAATAATGGTAATGTGCTATGAATGCACTGGCTTTGTTCAGATGTAATTATTATGTCATCGTCCATATGTTTCCACCTCATTGTTGTGAAGGAAATAATTAGTATGAAAATATAGCTTAATATTTTAATTGATTTAAAGCGGTATCAATATAAAGATGAATTTGTTATGACAAATATTTATGTTTATACATGTATTTAGACAGTGGAAATGCAAGCTAATATAATTACTTGCGTTGAAAGAACGTTTGCAATTCGGAATTATTGAGCCTTTCCAGTACCGTTTACAGTTGTATATCGTTGAATTATAAAACAGGAACGATGAATGATAAATCATAAAGTTTATTCATTCAGGTACATTAATACTAGCTGTCTCCCGCGACTCCGTCGGCGCGGAATAGAAAAAGAAAATAAATAGTAGCCTATGTGTTCTTTCAGACTATGTTTTACATCCGTGCCAAATAAAGTCCACACACACAATCGTCCTGGAGATATTTTCTAACAAACATCCATCCATCCAAACATATCAGATTATATTCCAGTCGAATTAGCAATATACGCTATTGTTTTCAGTGCAATGAAATCATTAGGAAATGCAATAAAAATCACTAAAGAGGACCGCGTGACTAATAAATTAATTTAATGTTTTTAGTGCGATGTTTTCCACGAGTTCAAGTTTACACATCAAATATATAACTACTTACGTTTTAACGACGATATATATATGTATATAAGCAATACATAACAATGAATAATAACTCTTAGTAAAGAATTATACGAAGAACATAACAAACTATAAACATTAGAAAAATTAGCTTGGTTTTAGGTACTTCCCTTATTTCTTTCTAGAGTTTAAAATTATAACAGTAAGGTGGTATATTCAATCAAGATAACATGTAAGGGAAAAGGAATAGGAAAGGTATCCTTTTATGTTTGTCCCATTTTTACCATTTGAAAGACATAGACTAAATACCATAGACACAATAAGCCTTCTAACGTCTATGGATACCCTTTTTAGCTTCTTAAAACAGCTCTTAATCATATGATAGATGTTACGTCTACGGAAAAGACTAATTATCATTGAAGGTCTTGCTTTACTAACCACCGGATACAAAACAATGCAAAGCTTCAAAACAAAACTAAGTAAATTGTGATTATAATATTTATCAATACGGTTGTAATAAATACATCAGGCTGATCTGACGAACTGTCGTCAGAGACGAACGAACCATCGGCTTTCGCTACATGTGACTCGGCGCTAATCAAAACATAATACTTGATAATATTTCCTTCAAACAATTAACGCATGACAAATTTTCAGTTATTCAATAGATTCGTTAAATATTAGTTAACAAACACGTGATTTTTTTCTTACTAATGTGTAACCGTTTAACCGTGTCAATATTGAAGGGAAATATCATAAGTGTTCTTTATCAATTGGATTCAGAAGTGTATGAATGGAAAACTTTATAATTTTACACCAGTGCAAAAATACGTAATGAGCTTTTTATATTATCTGTAGCCCACGACTCTGTCCACGCGGTATTAAATAAATTAGTAGCCTATGTGTAGTATTAGTTGCCAAAAACCAGTGAGCCGTTCTGAAAATACCTTCTATCAAACATCTATTCATTCATGCATCCAAACATTCGCATTTATTATGTTAGTAAGAAGTAAGATCAGAAATGTTAAAAGGAAGACGGTGTGATGACATATTTTTTATTTGAACTCCTTGTAATATACATTATCCTTGTGCATTAATAAAAAGGACACATAAATTACATAACATCTGAGCTTCTGACCTCTAAAAAGGTCGCAACTAAATTATATTAAGTTTTTAAGTACACAGACTAAAGATGCTTTGTGCCGTCGTTTTTACAGAAAAATCTCGTGACCCGATGATTGTTGGATAACTTTTATTATTATTATTGACTTTACTATCCATATGAAATCTAGGAGAATCGCTTAATTGTATACTAAATATGTCTGTAATAATAAAAAATTGGTCTTCACAGACATACGGACGGACAACAAAGTGATCCTATAAGGGTTCCGTTTTTTTCCTATGATGTACGGAACCCTAAAAATGGTTCACAGATTATTGATGTAGAAAATTGAACTCTCAGCGATCAACAAGTTTAAACTATAAAGCTTAAAGTAGTGAAACTAATGTTGTAATGTTTGAGGTCGTATTTATTTTATTATTCATCTGGTGTCTGGATCTTGTTTCATACAATTCTTTTGTCTGCAACCAATATTACTTTACCCTTTGAACACGGTGTACAAAAGCTGGGTCTATATCGAGTCTACAATTTTGTTTATTGAGGGGCTTTTAGTAAATCCCCCAAGAGCTGAGAAATCTCAAAGTGAGGCAATGTGACAGATGAAAGAGGCAAAAGTAACCTATTTTAGATATCCCACTTACACCCTATTTGAAGACGGACGTAATTTGTTCCAGTAGAAAGGTTTCCTAAAGGAGTATTCACTCTACTGTCACGTACCAACTTTGTATCTTCATTCCACTGTAACTGAAGTGTTTTTATGTATTTATATTTGTCTGTAAAGAACATTGTAATAAGACAATGAATCGAACATCATACCACATTTGACATAAGTCCGGCTACCACAGAGTTAAGTTTAACAGTGGTAGAGCCCGCTTTAACATCTTCGCACGAATTGGCCCGGCTCGCCCGGTGAAATACCACGATCACACAGAAGACAGGCGTGAAGTGGAAGCTATTCCGCGTTTCGTCTGAAGAGTGTGCGTCCCGGAGGCCTAATTTAGTCCTCTTTCCCTTCCCACCCTTTTTCTTATGAGGAAAGGATGGGAAGTGGAAGTGGACTTTCCGGATGAGAGGATGCATGGAAAGGGGAAATATTTTCTTTCTGTGCATCCTCTCTTCCGTCGATTAAAGGTAGGTAACGCATATGCAATTGCATATGTCTATGGGCAACGGTCACTTCGCTATTTCAGCGATTTCAGGTCGCCGTTCGCTTGTTTGCCACCTTATGATATAAAAAAAAGTTAATAAACACGAAGACAATTTTGTAATTTACAAAACATAATATTTTTAATTCTAGACCACAAATCAAGCGAGAAGTCTAGATTTTTTCTAACCAATATGGTAGATTATTTGGTGTGAAATATTCCAAAATGAATTACAATATTGAAATACATACATAATCTGAAGTAAGACAAAATAATAAAGTACTTAGCACGTTTAAAACAAACTGAGACCAAATAACCATTAATCTAATTCAGTATTACAAAGGTTTCGCCCTTTGAAACATCGAGAGACTAAATCCTGTTAAAACGAATTTCGTAACGAACGAAAAATAATTATGTAAATTAAATTTGAATCCTAAGAGCGCAAGAGCGTTCTTATAAATAGCCTTTTGTAAACCATCTTTGTTACCAAAGCTCTTGGAAAAACTTCATCAAGTTTCACAAATTACTAAGAAACTGTAGTTGGCATAGTTATGGCATTTAAATATAATTGTGTTATCAGGTTTACTAAATTATAAGAGAAATACAATCTATTTCAAGATATACAACGTTAAACATACGAAAACCAACTTAATAATTACGTTAAAGTATTGTTATTTTCTTTATTTATAATGTTTATTTCCAATGGTTTATACACCCTGTACTCCCTGTTCAAACGGCTCGTTAGTAAGTTCCATTATGACCGCCTGTACCCTATCCGTTTGACCAATTTTGAAGTGTAAATCGTATTCTTATTATTTTCGGAAAGTTTTAGAGCAAAAAGAGCAAAGTCAATCGATTTCCTTGTTCATTCAATTACTAAATATCTTTGATGATACTTTTTTCTTTTCAGCCTTATGATGCCCACTGCTGACTGCTGGACATAGGCCTCTCGCAAAGATCGCCACGTTGCTTGTGGTTATCATAAGGGAGGGTTTGCCATAATCGCCACGCTTGGCACGCTCGTCTTGATAATAATACGCATAGATGAAATTTTGTGAGCATATTGAGTAGGTCTGAGAATCGGCCAACATTTTTAATAGTTCAAGGTGGCAAAAGCTGGTCACATATCTTACTTCTTACCATGTGTTGTTATAATGTTATTAAAGCGAATATTTAGATGCATGGATGGATGTTTGTTTGAATGTATTTCCGCAACGGCTCAACAGATCTTTATTAAATTTGGCACAGATAACATAATCTGGAAGAACACTTTTAAGCGCGTACGGATTCGCAGGCGTTAGCGAGTAATCGAAAAAATAACAAAGTGACGGCTGACCATAGACATCTGAAATCCGGTA